CGAAGCCTGTGCTTTATATATAATATGTAAAAATCATATATAATTAATGCGCAGTACCGTTGGTTCTTATGGGGGTTTTAGTCGGCAAATGCAGCTATGGGAAACATAGCACGGTTGGCTGCGTACGGTGCGAAAGAAGTTCAACGTACACACTTACACGCATCGGTTCAGAATTATCAGTGGATGAGTTATATATAGGCAACGTATGTTTACAATGTCTGTTCATGACACGGATAGGTCAACAGGCTATAACCTACTTGCTGTGCTGCTACAGCTATACAGGCCACCTCGTAAACTTGTTTCGCTTTCATCTGGATCCTTAATAATTTTAGACTCGGCTCGACTGAGCTCATCATCCTTACGTTGGGTCAATAAAACCGCTACCACTTTGGGAGCAGCCAACGGTGGTGTTGATTCCTGCGCGCGTATACTGGGCCCGTCCCACAAACCCCTCCTCCACCCCCGCCATGGGAACGTGGAATGTGTCCACGCTCAATGGTGAGCAGGGAGAATGGACGCAAAGTGGATTCGTGGGGTCGCTTTGCATCCCCCCCCCTCCCCCCCTCTCTCCCCTCCCACCTCCCCCTCTCTCCCCCCCCACTTCCCCCTCTCTCCCCCCCCACCTCCCCCTCTCTCCCCCCCACCTCCCCCTCTCTCCCCCCCACCTCCCCCCCACCTCCCCCTCTCTCACCCCCCACCTCCCCCCTCTCCCCCCCACCTATCCCCCCGCTCTCTCCCCCTCCTCCCCGCCCTCTCTCCCCCCCACCTCCACCCCCTGTCTCCCCCCCACGTCCCCCCACCTCCCCCCCACCGTCCCCACCACCTTCCCCCCCCCACTTCCCCCCCCACCTCCCCCACCACCTCCCCCCCGAGTCGCCCACGTGGGGACAGAGGCGTGAGTAGCTTGGAAGACGAATAATTGTGTCGGTGGGCGAGAGTTCGGTGCCATAGTCCGTGTCCCCCATACCGAGCGCCTGCCATGGGAATTCGTGAATTCGTGGCCACGGCATCCACCCCATCACTAATGTGCCGTGGTTGCTCACTAACATAACTCGCCCCCAACAGCCTGTGCAGGCTATACGGGGCACCTTTGTCGTGTGAGTATATATGTGTGTGCGAAACAAAGCAGAGCATGTAGACTCGTGTGTGTGTTTGTGTATATATACTAAGCTCGTTTACATACACTGCAGTAGAGTTCCGCAAAAAGTTACACGCCTAATGAATTATCGGGCAACGACAGCGAGAACAATGGAAATACAGAAACACGGAGAAATAACCACCCAGAGCAGACAGTGTCATTAGTCGGCAGCACGCGTTGCTTTAGCATGCACTGTGGCCCCGCCACCACCACCGCCACCACGGGGAGAAGAGCCAGGGGTAGAATCTATGGGGAGGAGCAAGGAAGGAACGGGGAGGCTGGGACGGCAGTTTCCGAGACGGACGACGAGGAGGTCACGGCTCGAGATGAGCAGCAGGGAGGAGGAGGATGAGTGAAGGAGATGAGGAGTGGGTGGGGGGGAGGAGTGACCGGGCCAGGATGTCTGGGAAGGGAGGGCGGTGGTGGTGGTGGTGAGGGCGGAGGGATGAGAGGGAGGAGAGAGGAGGAGGAGGAAGGAGGAGCGGTGTCTGTAGCGCTGTTCTCACAGGGAGAGGCTGTTGGGGTTGGCCACACAGATTCACGTGATTTACGGGAGGCTTCTGCTGATAAGAGATATCAAGATATATAGACATGAACGTGCGCGCGCGCGTGTGTATTTCTAGCGTTGCTGCTGCTGTTTTTTTAAAATTTCTCTTGCTGCCGCACTACAAACCCGGCCACCTGAGTTTGATTCCTGGCCACGGCGGCGAGTGATCGATGTGGCTCGCTTGACCGTGCGGACTCCTTCACGTTTGCGTCGGCGGTGACCGTCAGAAGAGTCTCTCCCCAGGGCAATGTTTGGCCAAAGTCGTTGGGCGAGTCACGAGTGTGGATTTTGTTCAGTGCCGGGGAAAACGAACAGAGAAGAAATCCCCACGCGATGACACATCGCACGTCACCGCCTGGGCAAGTGGACGTCTGAACTTGGTTCGGGCCTCCCCTAGGTCAGCTCAGACCAAAATTAGCACGTCCAAAACATGAGCACAAACCCTTTGCCCTGCCTTATAGTAGGTGCTGGAAACTGGCTGGAGCACCACCCCCCCCCCCCCAGGTCAGCTCAGCCCAAAATGAGCACGCAGAAAACCTGAGCACACCCCTTTATGCGTTGCCTCATTAGGTGCTCGCTAACATGCACCTCGCTCCAGGAGCGAGCGCATGTGTGTGTGTGCGCGCAGCCGTGCGAGTGGAACGTTGTGCGTGTAGTGGGGGGGGGGGGACGATTTGGTGGCGGGCATGAAACTAAACGTGGGTGGTGAGAGGCACAACAACTCAACAGCAACAAGAACAAAAATGCGAAAAAAATAACTTGAACATAGCATGCATCTAAATATACTGTATATACTGTATCTGTGTATATACTGTATATTGCAAATGTATTTTAGTGAAATCCCGGCTTCGATAGTGTCACATCGTGGACAGCCACGTGCTCACATCGTGTGTGCTTGTGTCTAGCTTATAGCTGGTGGGGAAGCGCTGGGTGCAGTGGTTAGCGCGCTGCGCTACGAACCCAGCGACCCGTGACCGTTTTCCGCTCACGGACCAGTCTACCTCGGTCAACTCAGCCTTTAAAGGTGAGTTACCTGCTGCTGCTGCTGCTGCTGTGGTGTGTGTGTGTGGTGTATGAGTGGATAACAACATTAGCAATGAGGGGGGAGGCAAGAGCGGGCGGTCGAGCGTGGTACTTGGCAAACCCCATCCCCGGGCACGTGTGGCCGTGCCTGCCTACGTGGGTGCTACGGGACTTGCCTGACAGCACTTGCCCCAACAGCCCGTTCAAAGGCTACCTGGGAGAGGGTGCAGGGTCTGGGGCTTTGTCTCTATCTTTGTGCTTGTGTTTTAGCTTATGGCGCAAGCGCCTTCGTGATTCTACGACGGAGGGTGGCTTCCCTGTCAAGGGAAACGCCTATGCGAGATGTGTTTCATTAAAAAAATAACAACAAAGATAACAACAAAGATAACAACAAATAATTAAAACTATTAATATTGTTAATGCTAATAACGACGACGACCATTGTACTCGCGTCATAAACCAAGTTAGTCGGGTCTGCGTCTGCCAGCACGGACACTCTCACCTCTAAACCTCACCGCCACGCGCCCCATCGCGTCACCGCGACGCATGCACGTGCAGCTCATTCGTATCGTCCACCAACATCATCATCATCGCCATCAGCATCATCATCGCCCCCCTCTCACAAGCCACTTGCACTACGGGGCATCTGATTGGCGCGAGGTTCTTCATCGCCGACAGTGGCTCTAATACCCAGTAAACGTGGCACGTTGGTTGGCTCCCAGCGTTGGCCCAGCGTTCGCCCCCGACGTTGGATCAACGTCGGGCGCAAACGTTGGTCCCAACGCTTTGGTTGCAAAACCCACACCGCTAACGCTGGGCTCCAATGTTGGCAATGTTTACTGGGGTAGAGCCGACAATTCCAAACCACTGACCGAGGCTCTGCAGACGCTTCAGTGCCCGCGCTAACGGGACCCTAGATCTCAGTAACCGCGGACAAGAGAAGACTTTTGCATGGCTCAGTAAGCCTGGAAGGAGCTGCCTACGGGAATCATCCGGTACCGCGGGAGGAGAGGCTGAACAGCACCAGCCGGGTGAGTGTCGACGAAGGGCAGCTGCAAGGAACAGCTACATCGGCAACAGTGGAAGACTTTCAATTGCAAAAGGTCACGGCCGTGTATACAAGTCGAATATGAACAATTTAAATAGCGGCAGTGACGATGGCGACTTCGGTTCTTTGGACAGAGGCTTATGGACAGACACTGCGCAGTCGGCCTGGTGGTGGCTACGCAACGTGGCCTGCAATACAGAACGGGTGAAGGCAGCAGCGAGGGAGGGTTAGTGGATCACACACACACACTTTGTGGGGGTCGAGGAGGTACCGTACCCTGGCTCGCCATGGCAAAGGCGGTACAAGCAACGCGCGGACTAACATCATCTGTCCCCTCTTCACGTGTTGCCTGCTTGCACGTACGCGTGAGTTTTCTCCGGGTGCTCCGATTTCCTTCCCACACGTATTAACATTCAATGATTGGCTGAAAATACCTGAATACACTCACACCTCCGTATGTTGCCGATTGTGCAACATAAAACACTCGTGAATATTGTTATTCAGTAACCCTGGACAGAGGCTTAGGGTATATTCAGTAACCAATTCTACAGCGGCTTTAGGGACTGTTCAGTACCATGGACAGCTGCTGTACAGTCTGTTCAATTGTACAGCGGCTGTAGACCCTGTTCAGTACCATGGACAGCTGCTGTACAGTCTGTTCAATTGTACAGCGGCTGTAGGAACTGTTCAGTACCATGGACAGCTGCTGTACAGTCTGTTCAATTGTACAGCTGCTGTAGACTCTGTTCAGTGCCATGGACAGTTGCTGTACAGTCTGTTCAATTGTACAGCTGCTGTAGACTCTGTTCAGTACAATGGACAGCTTCTGTAGAGTTTGTTCAATTGTACAGCGGCTGTCGGGACTGTTCAATACCATGGACAGCTGCTGTAGACCCTGTTCAGTACCATGGACAGCTGCGGTAGAGTCTGTTCAATTATACAGCTGCTGTAGACTCTGTTCAGTACCATGGACAGCTGCTGTAGAGCCTGTTCAATTGTACAGCTGCTGTAGACTCTGTTCAGAACCACGGACAGCTGCTGTAGAGCCTGTTCAATTGTACAGCTGCTGTAGACTCTGTTCAGTACCATGGACAGCTGCTGTACAGTCTGTTCAATTGTACAGCGGCTATCGGGACTGTTCAGTACCATGGACAGCTGCTGTAGACTCTGTTCAGTACCATGGACAGCTGCTGTAGAGCCTGTTCAGTCCCATGTACAACGACTGTCGGGATAGGAACGTCACGCTAGTGAACACCCTGCACGCACATCAACGCATATCAATGGGAACGGGTGCTCGCAAAGTTTCGCCGTGTATGTGTATGGGGTTGGGTGGGGGACCGGCGGGCGGGGGGGGGGGGGCACGTGAGGCACGGTGCTGGGGGGAGGTTCTCTGTGCTTAACTACAGGAGGCGACACGTGCGTTTGTGTTTGTTATCTTACCATCATCATTGACCATCACCATCATTGATCGGCATCATTGATCATCATCATTAACAGCAATGATTCCGCAGCTGCATATTACATAGAGAGGGGTAGGGCACGCGCCCTGTGTGCTTATACAGAAGAAGATACAATATTGCGACTTGTACGGGCAGCATCATCACCATCACCATCGTCATCTAGAACGCGTGCCGTCGATTTCGCCGACAGCACGATAGCGTACGAGAGAGACAACGTGATATGTCTTGCTGTGGTTTAACAACAACAAAATCTATTGTGCACACACACGTTCCCGTACGACCAACATGCCCTCCTTTGTAACGTATCGTGATCGTCGTCGTAACAATGATTAATCTCGTCTCCGTTTTCATTATTTACAGATTGAGACGCTGGCTTGCTGTGCGTGCGTCGTGGGCGAGGTGAGGTTGGGTCGTGCAGGCGTGTCGCTGTGTGTGTGCATCTCCAAGGTGCACCTAGACTGGCACAAGCGCCGTGACGTCTCAGCCACTTAGTTACGAACGGCGGTTGTTGTTGTTGTTGCTGCTGCTATGTGTGATATCCCGAGTTCGAATCTCGCTCATCTGCCAACAGCAGTGACGATTATCTGTACCGGTCCTGTGCCTCCCCTAGGTCGACTCAGCCTCAAATGAGTACCTGGCGCGGTGTGTAGTAAACATCGACACTAGGGAGACGAAGGCGGCCGGACGGGGTGCTGGCCACCCACCCCACGCGATCACCTCGGAGTGAACCTAGCCTGGCACAAATGCTGTGGTGGCTGTTGTTGTTGTGTGTGCGTACCGAGTTCTCTGCGTGTGTGGATAGGTGCACGCTTCGAACCTGGCAACCAGAGTTCGATACCCCGCTCGCGACCACCCAATCAATGGGACAGCGAATATTCAAACACCGTTCGTGAGCTCTATGCCGAGGTCGGTTCGGCACCTTCGTGCGGTGCGTAACAAAAAAATATACTGGCAGCTTGGGGGAGACAAAGGCGGCCGTGCCGATCATCACACGTGCTACTTACTCGCTCACAGCACTCGCCCCTGCAAGCCTGTTAACGACTGTACCGGGGGTGGAGGGAGTGAGAGGGCGCCGTTGCATTTGCTAACGATCGCGCGCGTCTGGAAGTAGCGCCGCTTTAAAGGTCACCCCTGTAACACGAACGCCCGGGGGTTGGATGACTCCGCGATCCATCGGACATCGTCCCTCGTTAGATCACCGCCCGCGTCGCGCGAGTGGGGACTGCGGTGTCCTAAGCGCTCGGTGTCGCAGGGACCCCCCTCGCGAAAGGCGAGTCTCGAGACTCAAGCCCTGGACGAGTGGCGGAATCGGCGTCGTCGTCGTCGTCGGCGTCATTATTATTATTATTATTTCCGTGAATAGCGGCAGCTTGTGCGCTGCGCTGTCTAACGGTGGTCAGAGGGATATCGGCGAGTGTGCGTTCGGGTGCGTGCGTGCACGGGTGTAGCCTTAATGGGTGCTCGCTAACAGCACTTGCCCCAAACAGTCTGTTGCAGGTCATACGGGGGATCTTTGTCTTTGTAGCCACATTTGCAAGGGTATCAAGTGGGTTGTTTCCTTAGTGTATTAGCATCAGCTTCATCACCACCACCATCATCACTATCATCAACACCATCATCACTATCATCAACACCATCATCACTATCATCAACACCATCATCACTATCATCAACACCATCATCATCACCATCAACACCATCATCAACCACCATCACCATCCCTCCAGTGTCAACATCATGAGCAGCACCAACCATGGCTGACGCTCGCCACAGCAACGGGGAATTTCCACCATCATCAGACCCCATTTGCTCGTTCGAGCAGAAGCCATTGCCCCGACTTCTGATTTGTGCTTAAATCGCCGATCGCCGGGACTTCACCAACAGCTGTTTGGGGGGCACGGCACACCGCCCCCGGCACACCGCCAACTGCACACCGCCCCCGGCACACCGTGCCCGGCACACCGCGTCCGGCACACCGCGGCCGGCACACCGCGGCCGGCACACCGTCCACTATTTGCCGCGGCTACCGCTAGCCATGTGCCACCGACTCCGGCCTAACCAGCGTGGACCCGGCACACCGCACCCACCGCACCCACCGCACCCACCGCACCCACCGCACCCACCGCACCCACCGCACCCACCGCACCCACCGCACCCACCGCACCTGTTCTGCCAGTGACAAACCAAGCCCCCCCCCCCGCAGCCTCCCACCCCTCCCCCGCCAAACAGCGCCAACCCGGCCGCCGCTAGTAGGGCGCGAACACGAAGTGTCCGTGCGGGGTCCGCAGAGGCCCCGGCGCCGGTCTCAGCAGCGCCGGCAGGAACGCCGGGCCCCGGATGAAGGCCGGGGGGCCGGGCCGCAGCCGTGAACGCCGCGTGGAGCGGCGAGGCCGCCGCCGCCGCCGCCGCCGCGGCCGCCACCGCCGCACCGGCCGCGGTCAGCGGAGGCCCCAGGAAGCCCGGCGGGGCGAGCGTCTTGAGCGGCTCCTTGGCGAAGGGCATCTTGCCGTGGGCCATGCCGGAGGCGAGCGCCGAGGACGGGTGGAGCGGGGCCAGGAGGTAGCCTCCGTTGAGCGACGTCGCCAGCTCCTTGGGGAAGCTCAGCTTGGACGGCTGCGGCAAGACGGGAAGGGGGTGGGCGGCAAAGGGCACGGGCTGTACGGGGGACCTTTGTCTGTGTGTCTGCATGCGTGGCATAGCAGGGGGGCACGGTTGGTGCGTCGGTCGGTCATCTTAGTCGGTCGACACGTGGCACCTGCTGGGTCTGTCCCGTGACCTCCTGCCGGCGGGCGTTCGGCACTTCACGCGGCCTTAACGTGCACCTGGCCTGGCACAAGCGCCGTGGTGACGTCACCGCCACTGCTGTGTGTGTCTAGGGAGACAATGGCGGCCGGGTGTGGTTGCTGGCCACCCACCCCACTCGTGTGCCGTTCCGGCCTTCATAGGTGCTGCTCGCTAACAACACTTGCTTGTTACAGGCTATACGGGATATTCTTGTGCGTGTGAGTCTCTGCGTGTGTGTGAGTCTGTGTGTGTGCGTGAGTCTGGTCCGGCAAAACAACCCCCTACCTCCTCGCGGTGCCGGACGGGCAACTCTGTCGTGGACAGTGCTGTGGGGGGAGATCCAATTTTGATTGGCTCCTCCCCTCATGGCATATGTGTCCACCACAGGGGCTAAACGGGGGCTCTGGATGGGTGCGAGGGGCTGGTAACCCCTCCACCTTCAATTAATTACCAGGAAACCACGAGTTAAACTGAAATATGTAACAAAAAAGCTTGTGCCGGAGGCCCCGGGGGGCCAGGCGTCTATGACGTCTCCTGGCCAAACCCCAATTGGCGGAGCCAGGAGATTGAATACCTACCCTCGGGGCTACTCCAGAAACAACGAAAAGCCACTACGGGTGGCCACGTGGAATGTTCGAACGCTCACTGCAGAGGAGAGGCTGCCACTCCTCTGTCGGGAGCTGGACCGGTACCGCCTGGATCTATGCGGCATTCAGGAGGTCCGGTGGACCAGCTCTGGCTCCTGCCACCATGAGGGGTGGACAGTCCTCTACTCGGGGCAGCAGACTGCCAAACAACAGGGTGTGGGTCTTCTTTCGAACAAAAGAATGAAGGGGGCGTGGGAGCGTGGCGGTGAGGTGTGGGAAGCTGTAAGCCCCAGGCTACTTTGGGCTCGCCTTCCCATCAACCGGAGGCGAGGAATGATGGTCGTGGTTACTTATGCCCCCACCGAAGATGAACATCCGTGGAGGGATGCAGGCAAAGCCGATGAGTCAGACGCCTTCTATGACCTCCTGTCACAGGTGCTGGCTAAAGTGGCCCCTCGGGATAGAGTCATCATGTTGGGTGACTTCAATGCCCGAGTTGGTCATGTTACTGGCACCTGGTCTGGAGTGATTGGAGGGCATGGGCCAGATCAGCTCAATAACAACGGTAGGAGGCTGCTAGATTTTTGTGCAGCCCATGGGCTTGTAACTACCAACACGCTGTTCCGGCATCGGCGCATCCACACAACATCATGGATGCATGCCGGGTCCAAGCAAGAACATCTGCTGGACTACATAGTGACGGACCAGCGAATGCGAGCCCATGTCCTTGACACCAGGACCTACCGTGGAGCTGATCTGCCCTCTGACCATCGACTAGTTATCTGTAAGATGTGCCTGCCATTCTTCCACTCCGGTGGTGGGTGTACACCCAGGACCCCATTCCAACATAAAGTGGCCTGGTCTCAGTTATCTGATGAAAGTTGCAAGCGAGAATTTCATCATCGCTTGCGGCTGGGATTGGCATCGTCCCCGACTCCTCCTGATGTCGAGGGTAAATGGGCGAGGTTTAGGACTGTGACTCATGCAGCTGCAATGGCTGCTTTGGGTATGCGGTCCAGACCTCCCCAGAGACCCTGGCTGACAGAGGAGGTGTTCAGGATGGTTGAGAAAAGCGACAGGCCCACTGTCATCGGCTACAGAATCCCACGTCAGAGAATGAGGAGGCTTGCCGCAGCCTTCGATCGGAGGTTCGGAGAACCGTGAGGCGCTGCAAGGATGGGTGGTGGTCACGGGTTGCTGAGGAGATGGAGTCTGCCTCAGTGGCCCGTGATCACAAATCTCTATTTAACTCCATCAAAAAAGTAACCTGCAGCGCCACACCTATTACCATCATTAGGGGAAAAAACGGTGATCCAATCTCCGACCCCCAGGAACAGGTTCGCAGATTTGCTGAGCATTTCTGTGAGGTCCTGGGGGAGGGAAAATCCCACAGCCAGGAAAACATCGTGGCACAAGGTGAGGATGACCCTGCTGAGGCTGCGGTGCCTCAAATATTGGAAGAAGTCACCCCCTGTGAGTGGCTGGCTGAGGTGCCATCTGCTGAGGAAGTATTGAAGGCGATCCGGAGTCTGAGACCAGGAAAGGCAGCGGGCAGAGATGATCTCCCAAGCGAAATGCTGAGGGAGGGTGGCGTTTGTGCACAGACTGCCCTATATGACATCATAACAACGGTCTGGACCACTGGACGGGTTCCGCAGGATTGGAAGGATGCCCTGGTGGTCCCCCTTTTTAAGAAAGGGGACCGCACAGACTGTAACAACTACAGGAGCATCTCACTCCTCAATGTGCCGGGAAAGGTCCTGGCAAGGATTATTCAGCATCGCCTTGCCAGGCACGCTGAGGAGAGGCTTGCGGAGACCCAATGCGGTTTCAGGAAAGGGCGGTCCTGCACAGATGCCATATTTTCTGTCTGTCTGCTACAGCAGAGGTGTAGGGAATTCCAACAAGACCTACATCTTTGCTTTATTGACCTGGTCAAGGCCTATGATACCATCAGTAGGCCTGGGCTCTGGGTCGTTCTTCGTGCTTTTGGAGTACCTGACCCTCTGCTCACGATCATTAAGGACCTTCATGATGGTGAGCGGGCCCGGGTAAAACTACGTGGCCGGGAGTCAGAGCCATTCCCTGTACACCTTGGGGTGCGACAGGGATGTCCTCTGGCTCCCACATTATTTAACATCTATTTTGACCACGTAGTTCGTGAAGCCTTCAATAGCTGTACCGGGGGAATCTCCATATGGTACAGATATAATGGGAGGCTAATCGATGCCCGGGTGCGGTCAAGGGATGGCTCCCTATTGCTCAACCACGTTATGTATGCTGATGATTTGGTAATAGCTGCTCAGTCAGAGGAGGAGTTGGAGACGCTGTTGCTGAGACTGGAGCGTGCCACTAAGAGGTGGGGCCTTACCATCAGCCCCACCAAAACTAAGCACCTGCCTGGGTATTTTGTACCATCAGACACTCCACCCCCACAACTCCCAATCGGTGATGGGGCAGTTGTGGAGAGAGTGGAGAGTTTCCCATACCTGGGCAGTGTGCTTATGACTGGCTCCAGTTTAACAGCAGAGGTCTCACTCCGAATCAGTCGAGCGGCAATATCTTTTCATCGGTTGCGTAACGCTGTGTGGAAGCTACCTGGTCTGTCGCTCCGCACTAAGCTTCAGGTCTTCTCGGCCACGGTCATTCCCTCCCTTCTCTACGCTTGCGAAACGTGGACCCCCCTAATGGAACATCTTAGCCGGTTAGAAACATTTAGGCTGGCCTGCCTACGATCCATCCTGGGTTTAACCAGACTGGATTGTGTGAGGAGCTCACAAATCCTTGAAAGATCTGGGCAGGGTCCCGTCGGTGAGCTCCTCCGGCAGGCAAGGCTGCGATGGCTGGGTCATGTAGCCCGCATGCCCAGCCACCGCATGCCGAAACAGCTTTTGTTCGGCCGGATTGAGGGGGCTAAGCGGGCGCGGCACGGGCTAGAGAAGAGATGGAGTGATGTGGTACAGAAGGACGTGGAGCTGAGTGGACTTGCCGATGACTGGTACCAGCGGTGTCAAGATCGGCTTCTGTGGAGGAGGCTCGTGAAGGATGCTACTGGGCAGTTGGAGGTAGTCGCCCTCCAACAACAACGGAGGGCGGAGGAGCGACGCTCAGAACAACGAGCGGAGCGCCGGGTGGCTAAAGCACAGCAGGTTGGCACAGTAGGGGGCACAGGTGGTGCATCAGCCAGTCATCTCAGTCAGTCGACCCGTGGCACCTGGGTCTGCCCCGTGACCTCCTGCCAGCGGGCGTTCGACACTTCACGTGGCCTCAGGGTGCACATAGCCTGGCACAAGCGTCGTGGTGACGTCACCGCCACTTAGTGGCGAATGGCGGTTGTTGTTGTGTGCGTGTTTGTGAGTCTGTGCGTGTGCGAGTCTGTGCGTGTGTATGAGTCTGTGTGTGATTGTGTGTGTGATTGTGTGTGATTGTGTGTGTGTGATTGTGTGTGTGTGTGATTGTGTGTGCGAGTGATTGTGCGTGTGATTGTGTGTGTGTGAGTCTGTTTATGTGAGTCTGTGTGTGCCTCTGTGGAGGAGGCTCGTGAAGGACGCTACTGGGCAGTTGGAGGCAGTCTACCTCCAACAACAACGGAGGGCGGAGGAGCGACGCTCACAACGAGCGGAGCGCCGGGTGGCTAAAGCACAGCAGGTTGGCACAGTAGCGGGCACAGGTGGTGCATCAGCCAGTCATCTCAGTCAGACGACCCGTGGCACCTGGGTCTGCCCTGTGACCTCCTGCCAGCGGGCGTTCAACACTTCACGTGGCCTCAAGGTGCACATGGCCTGGCACAAGCGTCGTGGTGACGTCACCGCCACTTAGTGGTTGTTGTTGTTTGAGTCCGGCTCCAGTTTAGCAGCAGAGGTCTCACTCCGAATCAGTCGAGCGGCAATATCTTTTCATCGGTTGCGTAACGCTGTGTGGAAGCTACCTGGTCTGTCGCTCCGCACTAAGCTTCAGGTCTTCTCGGCCACGGTCATTCCCTCCCTTCTCTACGCTTGCGAAACGTGGACCCCCCTAATGGAACATCTTTGCCGGTTAGAAACATTTAGGCTGGCCTGCCTACGATCCCTCCTGGGTTTAACCAGACTGGATTGTGTGAGGAGCTCACAAATCCTTGAAAGATCTGGGCAAGGTCCCATCGGTGAGCTCCTCCGGCGGGCAAGGCTGCGATGGCTGGGTCATGTAGCCCGCATGCCCAGCCACCGCATGCCGAAACAGCTTTTGTTCGGCCGGATTGAGGGGGCTAAACGGGCACGGCACGGGCTAGAGAAGAGATGGAGTGATGTGGTACAGGAGGACGTGGAGCTGAGTGGACTTGCCAATGACTGGTACCAGCGGTGTCAAGATCGGCCTCTGTGGAGGAGGCTCGTGAAGGACGCTACTGGGCAGTTGGAGGTAGTCGCCCTCTAACAACAACGGAGGGCGGAGGAACGACGCTCACAACAACGAGCGGAGCGCCGGGTGGCTAAAGCACTGCAGGTTGGCACAGTAGGGAGCACAGGTGGTGCATCAGCCAGTCATCTCAGTCAGTCCACCCGTGGCACCTGGGTCTGCCCCGTGACCTGCCAGCGGGCGTTCGACACTTCACGTGGCCTCAGGGTGCACATAGCCTGGCACAAGCGTCGTGGTGACGTCACCGCCACTTAGTGGTGAGTGGCGGTTGTTGTTGTTGTTGTGTGTGAGTCTGTGTGTGTGTGAGATTGTGTGTGTGTGATTGTGTGTGTGTGAGTCTGTGTGTGTGTGAGTCTGTGTGTGTGTGAGATTGTGTGTGTGTGAGTCTGTGTGTGTGTGAGTCTGTGTGTGTGTGAGTCTGTGTGTGTGTGAGATTGTGTGTGTGAGTCTGTGTGTGTGTGAGTCTGTGTGTGTGTGAGATTGTGTGTGTGTGTGTGAGTCTGTGTGTGTGAGACTGTGTGTGTGTGAGTCTGTGTGTGTGTGTGAGTCTGTGTGTGTGTGAGTCTGTGTGTGTGTGTGAGTCTGTGTGTGTGTGAGTCTGTGTGTGTGAGTGAGTCTGTGTGTGTGAGTAAGTCTGTGTGTGTGTGAGTCTGTGTGTGTGTGAGATTGTGTGTGTGAGTCTGTGTGTGTGTGAGTCTGTGTGTGTGTGAGATTGTGTGTGTGTGTGTGAGTCTGTGTGTGTGAGACTGTGTGTGTGTGAGTCTGTGTGTGTGTGTGAGTCTGTGTGTGTGTGAGTCTGTGTGTGTGAGTCTGTGTGTGTGTGTAAGATTGTATGTGTGTGAGATTGTGTGTGTGTGAGATTGTGTGTGTGTGAGTCAGTGTGTGAGTCTGTGTGTGTGTGAGTCTGTGTGTGTGTGAGTCTGTGTGTGTGTGAGTCTGTGTGTGTGTGTGGGGAGCGATAGTGTAGCGGTTAGCGCGCTGCGCTATGAACCTGGCGACCCGGGTTCGATTCCCGCTCATGGCCAACACCAGTGACGATTATCTGAACCGGTCCCGAGCCTCCCCTAGGTCGACTCAGCCTCAAATGAGTACTTGGTGCGGTGTGTAAACATCGTCACTAGGGAGACAAAGGCGGTCGGGCGTGGTGCTGGCCACCCACCCCCTCGTGTACCGTTCCGGCCTTCATAGGTGCTCGCTAACAGCACTTGCCCCTACAGTCTGTTAAGGCTACACGGGGGATCTTTGTCTTTGTTTTGTGTGAGTCTGTGTGTGTGTGAGTCTGTGTGTGTGTGAGTCTGTGTGTGTGAGACTGTGTGTGTGAGTCTGTGTGTGTGTGTGAGTCTGTGTGTGTGTGTGAGTCTGTGTGTGTGTGAGTCTGTGTGTGTGTGAGTCTGTGTGTGTGTGAGGCTGTGTGTGAATGAGTCTGTGTGTGTGTGTGTGAGATTGTGTGTGTGAGTCTGTGTGTGTGTGTGAGATTGTGTGTGTGAGTCTGTGTGTGTGTGTGAGTCTGTGTGTGTGTGAGTCTGTGTGTGTGTGAGTCTGTGTGTGTGTGAGGCTGTGTGTGAATGAGTCTGTGTGTGTGTGTGAGATTGTGTGTGTGAGTCTGTGTGTGTGTGTGAGATTGTGTGTGTGAGTCTGTGTGTGTGTGTGAGCTTGTGCGTGTTGCACTCACCCTAGGGTGCTGGCTGTGTGTGGGTTTGCGAGCTGCCCGGCTGTAGGGGCCCAGCTTCTGCTTGGGCGGTTTCCCCGCCAGTTTATCCTTGTGCCTGCGACTCGTCACGTGCTGCGCATACCGATCGTCACAGTCACACAACACAGGCAAAGGACCCCCCCCCCCCCCCCCCCCGTGTAGCCTCAACAGACTGTTGGGGCAAGTGCTGTTAGCGAGCACCTACGAAGGCCGGCAAGGCACGCGAGCGGGTGGGTGGCCAACACCACGCCCGGCCGCCTTTGTCTCCCCAGTGGCGATGTTTGCACATGGCACCAGGTACGCATTTTAAGGTTGAGTCGACGCAGGGGAGGCCCAGGACCGGTTCAGATAATCGTCGTGAGCGGGAATCGAACTCGGGTCGCCGGGTTCGTAGCGCGGCATCGCGCTGACCGCTACACCATCCCCCCCCCCACCCTCCCGTCCACGCAGACCCCCTCACTCACTCGCACCCTGAGCCACCTACGACCCCCGTCTCACCTGCGTGACCCAATGACCCCACCCCGGGGCTGCCTTCTGACCCAACCCCCCCTCCCCTCCACTCCCCCTACCCCCCCCTCCGCGTCTCCTGCGTGACCCAATGACCCCCCGTGGCTGCACTTTGATCCAGCGCTCCCCCTCCTGTGTGACCCAATGACTCCCCAGGGCTACCCTCTGACCCAGCCAAACCCCTCCCGCTTCTCCTGCGTGACCCAATGACCCCCCTCCCCCCGGGGCTGCCCTCTGACCCCCCCCCCCCCCCCACCTGCTTGAGCTGGGACTCGGAGTTGACGACGACGTCGCAGAGCTCGCAGCGGAAGGCGCGGGTCAGCTGGACCACGCCCCCCCCCGGCTCCGCCCCCGGCTCCGCCCCCGCGCCACGCCCCACGCCGCCCCGCCCCCCCGCGGGCCGCATGCACGCGCGGATCGTGCCCCCCCCACTCTGCACCTCCATCATCACCTTGTGCTTGGCACCTTTGGAGGCGGGGGGGGGGGGATCAGGGCGGGGGGAATATTAATTAGGGGGGAGGGCCTCATGTGGAGTGACGTCACGCGGGGGCGGGGCTCATGTGGAGTGACGTCACGCGCGGGACACACACAGATTCGTGGCTCATTAGTAATATAAATACGACCTTCATTTATGACATTGATGAGCGCGTTGATTTTGAGTTCAACCTGGATACTCGCCATCAATCAGCAGTATCAGCAGCATCATCATAAATAAGTTTTATTCATCATCAGTAATCGCCATCATTATCATGATCAATCAGCGGTATCATCATCAAAAATAATTATTAATCATCATCGATAATCGCCATCATTATCATCATCATCAATCAGCGGTATCATAAAAAAGAATGATTAATCGATAATCGCCATCATCATCAATCAGCAGTATTATCACCGTCAGCATTATCATCATAAAAATACTGATTAATCATCATTGATTCAGCAACAATCAAAGCCACCTCCACCGATCCCCAATCACACCCCACAGCTCCACCCCCCTCCCCCTCCGAGCAGCGCTAATCGATATTCCATTTCGCTCACGCGGCGCGTGCACGTGGAGCTATTCATTCCGCAGGGCCCAGGCCAACCACCACCACCAACAACAACCAACCAGCACCCACCACCACCAACCAGTCTCGCCTCCCTCACTGCGTGGAACAAACCCCCCCTCCCCCATAGCCCCTCCCCTCAAATCCCCATACTTCCTCCTCCCCCATCCATCCCCCAAATCCCCCCCCCCCGCTCTCCCCCTCACTCCCCGCTCTCACCCCCCCCGACTCTCCTCACCCCCCACACCCCCCCCCCCCCCCCTGGCAATTAGTGTGATTAATTATCCCTCGCAGAGCACGCGGGCTGGAAGCCGCCGAGTTGAACTTCTCCGGCCTCTTCCTCGCTTTCTCCCTTGTACACGGTGCCCAGGAGATGTTAACTACCTCACCTGGTATGCAGGAGGTCTGTGTATCTCTCTCCCATCATCACGGTGGCTAGGAGATGTTAACTACCTCACCTGGTATGCAGGAGGTCTGTGTATCTCTCTCTCATCATCACGGTGGCTAGGAGATGTTAACTACCTCACCTGGTATGCAGGAGGTCTGTGTATCTCTCTCTCATCATCACGGTGCCCAGGAGATGTTAACTACCTCACCTGGTATGCAGGAGGTCTGTGTATCTCTCTCCCATCATCACGGTGGCTAGGAGATGTTAACTACCTCACCTGGTATGCAGGAGGTCTGTGTATCTCTCTCTCATCATCACGGTGCCCAGGAGATGTTAACTACCTCACCTGGTATGCAGGAGGTCTGTGTATCTCTCTCCCATCATCACGGTGCCCAGGAGATGTTAACTACCTCACCTGGTATACAGGAGGTCTGTGTATCTCTCTCTCATCATCACGGTGCCCAGGAAATGTTAACTACCTCACCTGGTATGCAGGAGGTCTGTGTATCTCTCTCTCTCATCATCACGGTGCCCAGAAGATGTTAACTACCTCGCCTGGTATACAGGAGGTCTGTGTATCTCTCTCTCATCATCACGATGCCCAGGAGATGTTAACTACCTCGCCTGGTCTACAGGAGGTCTGTGTATCTCTCTCCCATCATCACGGTGCCCTGGAGATGTTAACTACCTCGCCTGGTATACAGGAGGTCTGTGTATCTCTCTCTCATCATCACGGTGGCTAGGAGATGGTAACTACCTCGCATGGTCTACAGGAGGTCTGTGTATCTCTCTCCCATCATCACGGTGCCCAGGAGATGTTAACTACCTCACCTGGTATGCAGGAGGCCTGTGTATCTCTCTCCCATCATCACGGTGCCCAGGAGATGTTAACTACCTCGCCTGGTCTACAGGAGGTCTGTGTATCTCTCTCCCATCATCACGGTGCCCTGGAGATGTTAACTACCTCGCCTGGTCTACAGGAGGTCTGTGTATCTCTCTCTCATCATCACGGTGGCTAGGAGATGGTAACTACCTCGCATGGTCTACAGGAGGTCTGTGTATCTCTCTCCCATCATCACGGTGCCCAGGAGATGTTAACTACCTCACCTGGTATGCAGGAGGTCTGTGTATCTCTCTCCCATCATCACGGTGCCCAGGAGATGTTAACTACCTCGCCTGGTCTACAGGAGGTCTGTGTATCTCTCTCTCATCATCACGGTGCCCAGGAGATGTTAACTACCTCGCCTGGTATGCAGGAGGTCTGTGTATCTCTCTCTCATCATCACGGTGCCCAGGAGATGTTAACTACCTCGCATGGTCTACAGGAGGTCTGTGTATCTCTCTCCCATCATCACGGTGCCCAGGAGATGTTAACTACCTCGAATGGTCTACAGGAGGTCTGTGTATCTCTCTCTCATCATCACGGTGCCTAGGAGACGTTAACTACCTCACCTGGTATGCAGGAGGTCTGTGTATCTCTCTCCCATCATCACGGTGCCAAGGAGATGTTAACTACCTCGCATGGTCTACAGGAGGTCTGTGTATCTCTCTCCCATCATCACGGTGCCCTGGAGATGTTAACTACCTCGCCTGATCTACAGGAGGTCTGTGTATCTCTCTCTCATCATCACGATGCCCAGGAGATGTTAACTATCTCGCCTGGTCTACAGGAGGTCTGTATATCTCTCTCTCATCATCACGGTGCCCTGGAGATGTTAACTACCTCGCCTGGTATACAGGAGGTCTGTGTATCTCTCTCTCATCATCACGGTGGCTAGGAGATGTTAACTACCTCGCATGGTCTACAGGAGGTCTGTGTATCTCTCTCCCATCATCACGGTGCCCAGGAGATGTTAACTACCTCGCCTGGTCTACAGGAGGTCTGTGTATCTCTCTCCCATCATCACGGTGCCCAGGAGATGTTAACTACCTCGCATGGTCTACAGGAGGTCTGTGTATCTCTCTCCCATCATCACGGTGCCCAGGAGATGTTAACTACCTCGAATGGTCTACAGGAGGTCTGTGTATCTCTCTCCCATCATCACGGTGCCCTGGAGATGTTAACTACCTCGCCTGGTCTACAGGAGGTCTGTGTATCTCTCTCTCATCATCACGGTGGCTAGGAGATGGTAACTACCTCGCATGGTCTACAGGAGGTCTGTGTATCTCTCTCCCATCATCACGGTGCCCAGGAGATGTTAACTACCTCACCTGGTATGCAGGAGGTCTGTGTATCTCTCTCCCATCATCACGGTGCCCAGGAGATGTTAACTACCTCGCCTGGTCTACAGGAGGTCTGTGTATCTCTCTCTCATCATCACGGTGCCCAGGAGATGTTAACTACCTCGCCTGGTATGCAGGAGGTCTGTGTATCTCTCTCTCATCATCACGGTGCCCAGGAGATGTTAACTACCTCGCATGGTCTACAGGAGGTCTGTGTATCTCTCTCCCATCATCACGGTGCCCAGGAGATGTTAACTACCTCGAATGGTCTACAGGAGGTCTGTGTATCTCTCTCTCATCATCACGGTGCCTAGGAGACGTTAACTACCTCACCTGGTATGCAGGAGGTCTGTGTATCTCTCTCCCATCATCACGGTGCCTAGGAGATGTTAACTACCTCGCATGGTCTACAGGAGGTCTGTGTATCTCTCTCCCATCATCACGGTGCCCTGGAGATGTTAACTACCTCGCCTGATCTACAGGAGGTCTGTGTATCTCTCTCTCATCATCACGATGCCCAGGAGATGTTAACTATCTCGCCTGGTCTACAGGAGGTCTGTATATCTCTCTCTCATCATCACGGTGCCCTGGAGATGTTAACTACCTCGCCTGGTATACAGGAGGTCTGTGTATCTCTCTCTCATCATCACGGTGGCTAGGAGATGTTAACTACCTCGCATGGTCTACAGGAGGTCTGTGTATCTCTCTCCCATCATCACGGTGCCCAGGAGATGTTAACTACCTCGCCTGGTCTACAGGAGGTCTGTGTATCTCTCTCTCATCATCACGGTGCCCAGGAGATGTTAACTACCTCGCCTGGTATGCAGGAGGTCTGTGTATCTCTCTCCCATCATCACGGTGCCCAGGAGATGTTAACTACCTCGCATGGTCTACAGGAGGTCTGTGTATCTCTCTCCCATCATCACGGTGCCCAGGAGATGTTAACTACCTCGAATGGTCTACAGGAGGTCTGTGTATCTCTCTCTCATCATCACGGTGCCTAGGAGATGTTAACTACCTCACCTGGTATGCAGTAGGTCTGTGTATCTCTCTCCCATCATCACGGTGCCTAGGAGATGTTAACTACCTCGCATGGTCTACAGGAGGTCTCTGTATCTCTCTCTCATCATCACGATGCCCAGGAGATGTTAACTACCTCGCCTGGTCTACAGGAGGTCTGTGTATCTCTCTCTCATTATCACGATGCCCAGGAGATGTTAACTACCTCGCCTGGTCTACAGGAGGTCTGTGTATATCTCTCCCATCATCACGGTGCCCAGGAGATGTTAACTACCTCGCATGGTCTACAGGAGGTCTGTGTATCTCTCTCCCATCATCACGGTGCCCAGGAGATGTTAACTACCTCGAATGGTCTACAGGAGGTCTGTGTATCTCTCTCTCATCATCACGGTGCCTAGGAGATGTTAACTACCTCACCTGGTATGCAGGAGGTCTGTGTATCTCTCTCCCATCATCATGGTGCCTAGGAGATGTTAACTACCTCGCATGGTCTACAGGAGGTCTGTGTATCTCTCTCTCATCATCACGATGCCCAGGAGATGTTAACTACCTCGCCTGGTATACAGGAGGTCTGTGTATCTCTCTCCCATCATCACGGTGCCCAGGAGATGTTAACTACCTCGCCTGGTATACAGGAGGTCTGTGTATCTCTCTCTCATCATCACGGTGCCCAGGAGATGTTAACTACCTCGCCTGGTATGCAGGAGGTCTGTGTATCTCTCTCCCATCATCACGGTGCCCAGGAGATGTTAACTACCTCGCATGGTCTACAGGAGGTCTGTGTA